AAGGACCCATCGCTCTCTCTGCACAGCGACCATGTATTCCATCCCTCTACATTCAACCAACCTTTCATATTCCACACTAACTAGCGAGGCAATCTGCCGCTGCACCTTGCGGCCGCCAGCGGTCACTTGACCGTCGTCGATCACCTGCTCAAGGATTCGACCGACAGCAGTGGTCTCGACTGCACCAACAACGTACGCACACTTCTTTCACTTATAAATGAATGTATCAACTTGATACAGGACGGCGAGGTGCCTTTATTCGTGGCGGCCAAAGCGGGCCACGCCAACATTGTCGAGCGATTGCTTGATTCAGGAGCATCGGCGAGTGCCACGGCCAGCGTACGTATCTCCGAGACATATAGCCTCAAAGGCAATATATTCAAAGGGCCAAACGCTCCTGCATGTGGCGGCGGCGCAAGGAAATCTCGACGTTGTGCAGGCGCTCGTGGCAAGGGACTTTAATGTGTTTGCCACAACCGTGGTACGAACATGATGGCTACCAAGTTTGGAAAATGTCTTATTGGCGTAGGAAGGTGACTCGTCATTGGCACTTGCGCAACAGCAGGGACACTCGGACGTCGTTGGCGCCCTGGCAACTGCTCAAGCCACTGCGAGTCAACGATTTTTGCTTGCCGCTGGTGATGGCGACCTTGCTTCTGTCACCTCGCTGTTAGAAAAAGGTGTTCCCGTCGACGTCCAAGACGAGGTGCGTCCACACGAGACACTAGGAAGGATCGTATGTTTCCTAGAAAACGGGTCGCACCGCGCTGCACAAGGCGGCCGCCAAGGACCACGGCGAGGTCGTCGCCCGGCTCGTGGCTGCGGGCGCAACCATCGACGTCGCTGCGCGAACGGTACAGATGACATATTCTCTTTTTATGGGAGGAGCAAATCGTTGCTAGAACGGCTGGACTGCACTCTTGGTCGCGACAGCCAAGCAGCATGTTGGCATTGTCGACCAGCTCTTGCGAGCCAGTGCGAGCGTCAACGTCGACGCCAACGTCAAGGAGCGCACCGTGCGTTACCCAAACTTCATATCTTGAACTAGAATGCTTGCGCGTAGAAGACACTGTGCCAGCCACTGCATCTCGCAGCCAAGTACGGCAACGTCGCACTCGTCGACCTCTTTGTGGCGCACAAGGCCAACGTGGATGCGGTAGCCGCGCCGGATGCGTCATCAAAGGGTGGATGGAGACCGATGGTAGGGCTCCATGCGGCCGCTGCATGTTGCGATCGAGAATGATCGCATTGATGTCGTCCAACGGCTGCTGGACGCCGACGCGTCCCTCTCGGTTACCAACCTCGTAGGCAGACGAAAGGAATATGACATCCTCATGCATGTTTTGCTAGGCGGGCAAGACCCCTCGGATGCTGGCCAAGGCGTTGCAGCGCACGGTGATCTTGCACCGGCTTACACGCCACGCGGTGCGCCGGCGAGCTCCAACATATATATGTATACCAACAATATTCCGGTAGCTGTTTCGAGCCGTGCGCGACCACAACGTTGACGGCTTCACCAAGCTTTTGGACGTCGACGTCGACGGCATGTGCAACAACGTACGACCGTTGGTGTTGCCGTGATCTCACGGGCGTAGGCCGGCGCGCCGCTTCTGCATGTCCTTGTCGAGCGCAACAGCACCGAGATGCTGCAAGCTGTCTTGGCCAAGTCTCTCAAAAGCATCAACGTCGAGCACGAGGTATCGGATGGCACGAACCTTATGAGCAGCAACGCACGTGTAGAATCAAACCCCTCTGGACCGCGCGATTGCCAACAAGAGCGCGACCATGGCGCTGGCGCTGGTTCTTGCCAACGCAGAATGGAAGCATCTGCCCGAGGTACGCATGCCCTCGCCCGACATTGGCAATACTTATTGAGTTGCAGGCGACGGTCGCGGCGTTTGTTCGGTCGCCAGACGCGTTTATGTTTAGCGCGCAGCTGCTCCGCGCGGCGTCCTCGGGTGACACTGGTGTTGTTGCCAAGCTGCTCGCGATGGGGGTGCGCGCCACCGCGACGGACGAGGTGCGGAGGTCGCTCATTGTTGCTGCATACCACGCCGCAGCGTAGACCTTGCGGACGGCGCTGCACGTGGCGGCCACGCATGGCGAGGAAGCGATGGCCGTGCTCCTACTCGAGAAGAATGCGCTGCTTTGTCGTTGCCGCGATCACGTTCGTGCTGCTTGTGTGGGATTGGAGTATGCATTTGCCAGCGTAGAAGGGAAATCTACCGCTGCACAACGCAGCGGCCAACGGCCATATCGCTCTTCTCGACCACCTCGTGGCCCCTACCGCCGCTCGGACGATTGACGAAGCGAATGATGTGGACACTTGAGCACCCTGTAGCGGCCGCTGAGTGCATACGTGTAGGACGGATGGACGCCCGTCGCCCTCGCCGTTCAAAGTGGTCACACGAACGTCGTTGCGCGCTTGCTCCACCATGGGGCCTCGCTCGAGCACAAGAGGCTCGTACGTGCTGACGAAAGAGCATCCGTTCGTAGGTGCGATACGTTGCTATGTGTAGCAGGACGGCACGCTCCTGCATGTGGCCACGTCGCGTCGCGTGGGCACCGATCTTCTCAAGCACCTCGTCACGAGCGGCAGCAAGGTCGAGGCTTGCGACACGGTAGAAGCGCTCAACGTCCCACTACACCGTACCGATGAGCGACTGTGTGTAGCGGGGCTGGACGCCGCTGCATGTTGCAGCCCACGAGGGCCACATCCAAGCTGTCGAGTACCTCGTGCGAGTCGGTGCCAACGTGGTGGCCGAAACCTTGGTACCGCTTGCCCCGTCCTTTGTCCATGATAGTGAGATACCTGTAGGACCGTGAGACGCCCTTGCAAATCGCAAACGACAAGAAAGTCGTCAAGGCCTTGCGCACGGCCCAAGCCGACGCGCGGAACCGAGCGCTCGCGCGCGCACAGGAAGCCGCTGCCCAGGTAGATTGCATGCCATTGCTACAACGTGATAGCAAGCTCCGTGATGTACAGGCAAAAGCGTTGTGCGATGCCGTTCCCAAAAATGATGTCGGTGCGGTCACGGACCTGCTTGCTGCTGGCGTCGACCCGAGTGGGCTCACCGTGGTACAATCTCTCTGCCGTGCCTTGGTTGTCGCACAGGGCGTCGTCGTAGGAGGGTGTGGCGCTGCCTGTCGTGGCCATGCGTCTCGGTCACTGGGAAACCTGCGACCGGTTGCTGGCCGTCTCGGTTGTCACGAGCGATGCGGCCCGCGTACGCATGCTGCACTCGCTCGCGCTCGAGCTGGAGCAATTTGAGGCGGCGTGGCACATTCTGCAAGCCTACGCTGACGTCCTCGCGTGCGACAAGGTACTCACGTCGGCTCGATCGTGTTGTCCCACGACGATGGCTAGCACGTCTTGGCTGAAGACGATACCCCGGTGCATGATCTGCAGGCCATGTGGACTGGCGCCGCGCTGCGCACGGCCGCTCGCAAGGGCCAAATCGACGTTGCCAAACGTCTTCTCTCGCAGTTTCAAGGCATTGTTGATGCGACCAACGAGGTAACACTTGCCGTTGCACTCTTGTGGGCTCATGTCGATTTTGTGTCGCTAGCGTGGCGAGACGCCGCTGTATGTGGCGATCGACCCGACCAACGAGTCTAGTGACGTGGCTGCGCGCACTGCGATGGCAACACTGCTACTGGGCGACGGCGCGAACCCTCTGGCTATCACTACGGTTTGGGCGCTTGCACGTGATATGACGGAATGAATTCGCGTTGGTGTAGGCGGGTGTGACGCCCTTGCTCTTGGCGGCTCGCAGTGGCAACTCGGATATCACTGCAGGGATCGTCAAAGCAGTGCTCGCACAGCCATCGCCCGACATGGCGGCGCTCAGCACTTGCTTCGCCGAGGCCGTTGGGCAGCGGGACATGCGAGTTGCGACTGTGCTTTTGCCTCATATGACGACCGACGATTGGACATCGACACTCGCATCGGATCCCATAGTAGCACACACGCTGCTTTTCGTCGAGCGGTAGACTTATGATGGACTATAGGGCATGGCGATCCTCGCAGCAACCGCCGGCCATCTGGGCATACTCGAACACTTGCAAGAAAAACACTACGATCTCTTCTGGGTCGCTCATGTATGAACTCGCTCGTCCGCACGTGTGGATGGTATCGAGTGCGTAGGGGGCGGAGGGTTCGACGTTGCTCATGCTGGCGGCCGCAAAAGGCCACGCGAAACTCGTCGACCACCTCGTCACCTTGCTGCTACCATCATTCGAGCCGATCGACAAGGCACGGGACGCGCTGCAAGCTCGTGAAAAGGAGCTCGAGGCGGCCAGAGACCATGTGTGTCTGCGCAACACGGTACGCTGCTTGCTATGCGCGATTCGACAAAGTACATATCCTATGTAGGCTGGACAAACAGCCAAAGATTTGGCGACCGGCGCTGTCTTGACAGAGTTTTTGGAGAACATTGCAGCGGAGCTCGAGCTTGTTCGACAACTCATTCAGGTGTCAACGATGCGAATGGAACGAGCGCTCATGGAGGATGGCATTAGGAAGCACGGCTTGTCGAAGCTGCCGACGCCCACGACTGGCTGCTTGTCATGACGCTGCTGAACCAAGGGGTTGCTGTCACGGATGCCTGTGTCGTGGTGTGTCAATCCGCAATCATCTCGACATGGACTGGCACTTGACGACGATATGTGTGGTTGTAGGAGACGATATGGCGTGCGGCTGTCGGCGCAAACGACAAGGAATTGATCACGACGCTCTTTCGCGCAACGGGCATTGACGCGTCGCTGCGTAAAGAGGTATCACTCTCTCGAGTCGCAGAGGTGGTATCACTCTGTGTAGGCTGGTCGAGCGGCACTGAAAGAGACGATGAACAAAGAAACACACAACTGGACAATGGTGTCGAGCATCCTGCAGGCCTTTGCCGCGACCAACGGCGGGGTCGCCCCCGAGGTTTGCACATTGTGTGGCGAAGTTGTTGACGCAGACTACGAGTAGGCGCTTTTGCCATGGCACATTGCCGCCGAGTGCGCGTCGTCCGCAGTGCTCGGTATGATGTTTTTTCCGCTGGGCCACTGCATCAACAGCACGGACGCGGTATGAACCTTATCGAACGTACTTGAATGGGACGACTGGTGTAGGACGGCTTGACGCCCGTGGCGGTCGCGATTCAGAGCAAGAACAGAGAAGCGGTCGAAACACTCATCGCCTTCGAGGCCGACATTTCCATTGCACCGCCGGTATCAACCATTCAAGTCTACTCAACTAAGTTTTCGTGTAGAACAAGGACCCGCCGCTGCACATGGCCTTGTCGCTGCCCGAGAGCTTGAACGTACTGCGAGTGGTGCTTCGCGCAAAACGCGTCAACCGCCTCAACGTCGAGCAGCGCAACACGGTGCGCTTTGTGCCCCCTTCATCGACACCGTTCTCAACCTCTTGTAGGCCAACTATACGGCGCTCATGCGTGCAGTCGTCGATGGCCGTGAGGAAGCCGTTGAGCTGCTGCTGGAAGCAGGCGCCAACGTCATGCAAACGCTGCCGGTAGACGGGTTGGACGCTTCTTGTTTGACCAACCGAGTGCGTAGGACAATGGACCGACGATCTTGGCGGCCGCAGCGCAACGCCCGAATCGAGCGATTACGAAATTAATGGACGACAAGGTCTATGAGGTCCTCAGCAAGGTCGACTTGAGGTTGATGAAGCGCAGCTAACGTATCGTGCTAGACGTGGGCTGCGACAATCAACTTTGGTGACGTTCAACTGGACGCAGTCCTTGGTGAAGGTGCAAGTGGTTTGGTCCGCCGTGCAACGTACAAGAACGACGAGGTTGCTGTCAAGACGTGCAAGAATACCATTCCGCGAGTAATCAAAGCTTTTCGGGAAGAGATCGAAACCACACGCCGGTACGTGTTCTATGACTCTCAACCCGAATGGAACCAACGAGCTGTAGACTGCGCTCGCCGTACCTCGTGCGGCTGCTGACGGTACTCGACGATGCGAATGGCAAGCCGCACATGGTGCTCGAGCTCATGGACGCTGGCGATCTGTACAAATACATCGAGAACAAGCGCCACGGGACATTTGTGACGAAGGATTTCCCTGTCGTACAAGTGGCGTGGGCAGTTGCCAACGCACTGGCCGATATCCACGCCGCCGAGTGCATCCACCGCGACGTCAAGAGCAAAAACGTCTTCCTCTGCACGACGAACGGCGTCAAGCTCGGCGACTTTGGCACGCTCCGATCCGTTGATGAGACGATGACCAGCAACGTCGGGACGCCGCAGACGATGGCGCCCGAAGTCACGCGTCGGGGTGACGAAGGAGAGTGCGCGTATGATACGTCGGCAGACATGTACTCGTTTGGCGTCGTCTTGGCCGAGCTCACGTGGATCCGCACACCGTACGACAGCAGTACCGAGGACATTTGTGGCCATGGGAACGTCACCGCAACCATCCAGCCCCACTGCGCCATGTGGTTTAAGACGCTGGCCACGCGGTGCTTGGCAGTGGACCCGACGGAGCGCCCGTCTGCAGCCCACGTCGTCGAGATTTTGGCCGCCCACCTCGAGGACAAAGACGATCATGTCGTGCCCACGCCACCGCCCGAGCCGACGCCGCATGAAAAACACATATAGTGTTGTACTCTGCATTTCGAACCAAACAATTTTGCATCTTTGACGCTACATGTAGTTTCACTCGTAGGTTCGTGTGCAGTGGAAGCTGCTCGCACAACGATGCCCCTCAGATCGGTGTGCTCGCTGGTCGCCGAGAACCTGTTGCTGCTCGAAGACGTCATTCATGCAAACGGTGGCCGTAGATGGGTGGAATGCGGGGAATTTGCAAAAGGCGTCATGGCTTGGGTACCTTTCTGCAGATTTCTGCGAAACACGTCATGAATACGTCATGAACTCTTGTGAGCCCACCTGGCAAGTTGGACAATCCCGACAATTCCCTTAAATAAGTATCGCCTAAGGTCATCCCCCTTCTATGTGTGCATCCATTCCACTTGACGTGCGACAGCAATGCGCGTGCTGGACGACTTGAAAAAAAATCGTCAAGTGCATTGCGATACTTATTTAAGGGAATTTCCGGGATTGTCCGACTTGCCAGGTGGGCTCACAAGAGTTCATGACGTATTCATGACGTGTTTCGCAGAAATCTGCAGAAAGGTACCCAAGCCATGACGCCTTTTGCAAATTCCCACATCGCCCATGGCGTGGGCGACAGTGGAGACCCCGACGAAGCTTGTAAAAGCCACCAAAGTACGCCCAAGCGCTGTAGATGGATAGTACTGCAAGAGCTCTGAATTATCCTTACGTTTGCATTCGATGTCTGTGTTTCCAAGCGTAGAACGCCCAGACGGCGCGGGCATTGCGCCAGTGCAAGACAAAGAGTTTTAGCTTGACTTGAGCCGACGTCGATAAGCTGGTAGGCATCGCAGTCGGCGTCGGTGCCCACAGTTGCCACGCTTTTTCCACCGTCGTCACAGCCACGCCACGACGCCAGTGTTCCATCCACGAAAACAACGCGGCGCGGAGCCGCAGCTGCGGTGCAAACGCATACAC